CACAACACAAACTTCCAGGAGTTAGCAACAACGTTACTGTTGTTAACTGCAACTTACTCCTGAGGACTATTATTTTATAAACACCTTTCATTTATGCCCATAAACTTTTTTTTAGTATGGCAGTGTGAATATTTCATAAGCACCACATCAGCTAGAGCAGTGGTCTCCAACCTTTTTGTGCCTATGGGCACATTTGAGAGTTTATGAGATCGTGGCGGGCACCAACCAATTAACAAAGCCAAATTTTCTTTTCTCTGGACAAATAAGATATGGACACCAAATAATACACAAAACAACACGACATTTAATGATACATGAAACCATGCAATCAAAAATACGTAGTTTCATAAGTACAATTATTATTACTCAAGTGGGAAGTTAGTGTGATGTTTGGCGCTGCATTTCATCGGCCAGTTTTTCAAATTTGGGAGTGTAGGATGATGATGCTGCTCGCAAACAATCGTCAAGATGGGCATCAGTAAGTCGAGATCTGTGCTTTGATTTTATAATGTTCATGGTTGAATGACCTTCATTATTCAGTATAACCTCTTTCCATAACAACTCGGGCATCCAAAAAAAGCCTTGGCGGGCACTGTGTTGGGGACCACTGAGCTAGAGTATACAAATATTAGCCAAGGCCCAAGGACAACAACAACATTCTAAATAACACCTTCAAGGCTATGGAGACCTGAGTTTCCAACTCCTGTTCTAATGATAGGAGAAATTAACCCTATTCTTATGCACCACTAAATGAAACATAAGGCAGTACTTGTTCTGACCTTGAGTTTTGTCAAGCTCTTGCAACAGAGTGACTTTTGAATGACTGAAAAGCTCCATCCCCAAGTGGTCCTGACTGGTGTCAATGATGACCTTGTTATCAACAGGTGGCTGGCAGCTTTTCATGACATCTCTCTCCATTTGATGCTCTGTAGGATGAAGCATAAACATTAATGGTATGGACCAGAATGCTTGTTGTAGAGTGTGGCAGGGTGAAGTGAGAACACCTCAGTTTAAGATTCTTCAATTGTGGAGAAAATAGAAGCATTTTGAACTGAGGCCTTCTGTATGGTATGTGCTTTAAGTTACTTAACAATACTGGATGACTGCAAATCTCTTCAAGCCGATAATGATTCTGTACATCAGTGGTGTGAAGATAATTCTATGGAACTTAATGTTGAGAAAACAAAAATTATATCGTTCACACGGAAAACCAACAGTATTTACTTTAATTACTTTGTAAGTGGTATTTTAATTTCCCGTACTGACTGTATAAAAGATCTTGGTGTATTATTAGACAGTAAACTTTACTTTCACTCTCATGTAAATTTTGTTTATTCTCAGGCACTTAGGACATTAGGGCTTATTCGATTTATTACATATAATTTTTCCTCTTTAGACAGTCTTGTTGTTTTGTATAATGCTTTAGTTAGGCCAAAGCTTGAGTATGCCTCTGTCGCTTGGAATAATCTTACACAAACTGATTCTAATAAATTAGAAAATATTCAAAGGAAATTTGCCAGTTTGTGCAATTACCGGTTTTTTTCAGTTTAATACCTCAGGTAAATATGAGTTGATTTTAACTACGTTAAATTTTAGAACACTTTATTCCAGGCGGCGACATCTCGATGCTTTATTTCTTATTAATGTTTTTAAGGGCAAAATTAATTGCAATTCTATTATGGATACTGTTGGTATTCGTGTGCCGTCAAGGCAAATAAGAGAATTTTCTACGTTTTGCGTGTGCGGTGCGCTTAGACACAGTCCTTCAGCCAGGTGTGTCATTGCTGCTAATTATGTTTGTACATTCTTGGACATTTTTGGTATAATCAATGTTTCTTTTGATGACACTTATTCCATAAGGGACAATACCTAGAGTGGACCTTATTTGTTACTTTTGTACTTTAAATTTGCTTTTTATGTTATCTATTAAGTTTTTAATGTCTTTTTTTCTTCCTTTTTCTGTGTTGTCTTTGTATTTTGTTTGTTTGTTTGTGTTGCCCTGTAATTGGCTATAGCAGCTGTTGGTGAGTACATTAAATAAAGAATTTAATTATAGAATTGAAGTATTTAATTTGGCAAACACGTAAATAAATGAATTGAATTGAATATTGTACATTTATATAATTAGTTCATTTGTTTGTTTGTTTATCATTTTAATGTTTCACTTTTAGGCATATTATTTAGCTCATTTACTGTTCATTATTTTGCAATAAATTAATGAATTGATTTATTATCATTATTATATTCTACATTTATATATTTAGTTCATTATTTGTTTTGTATTGCTATGTTTACTTTTATTATTTTTTTGTATTGTTAGTGCTCGGCTGTTATTGGCCTTTTTGGCTGTTGCCAAGCACTCAAATAAATGAATTGAATTGAAT